TTCCCAAAATCAGGTGAAAAGCGTTTCACACCAAACCTTGGGGAGGAAAATGTAATTAACCCAGTTACAAAAGCCCAAAATTGTAGCTGGATTAGATTTGGGTAGCCCAAAGTCAATTAAATGGCCCTGAAGGCGTTCACGGTCGTTCATAGAAACTTACTTGTCGTATATCATTTGCTGCAGTGAACGACAGGTCAGTAGGTGGTCTCCAAGATAAATAACGCGCCAACCTAACGGACCCGTCTGTTACAGTTTCAACTGCAGTCGTCCACTTGAAAAATATGTGGCAGAGGGCTTCCCAAGCCCGTAAAAAATCTGTTACTGCAGTAGCCTGATAAAATATACGTTGTCATTGGAGTTGGGCAGTTGGCTACTGACCAAGTCTGGATAAGGAAGAGGAGGAAGAAAGATGAGCACAGCCACCACCACTACCACCACCACCACCACCACCACCACAAATCTTCCTCATAATCTAAAGCCAGAAAACCTCTCAACATCAAACATACCCACTTCCCAACTTCCCCAGAAAACAATCCTAGACCTCTTAAACACAAAATGCACCACTTCTTTACACCATCTCAAGCAGGCTCATGCTGTGGTATTAAAGAGTGGCCACTTTCAAGACCATTATGTAGCTGGCACTTTAGTCAAGTGTTATGCTAATTCTCCTTCCAGCAACTTGGATTTTGCATTGAAGGTCTTCCATTATGTCCCTAGGCCCAATGTTTTTGTATGGAATCTTATGCTCAAAAGTTGCTTAGACCATAACGAGGCTTTTAAGGTAGTGTACTTTTATTATAAGATGGTGGTTGCTAATTCTAGGCCTAATAAGTTCACTTATCCTGTAGTTTTTAAGGCATGCACTATTACAGGAGCTGATAAAGAAGGGGTGCAAGTTCATGCTCACGTAGTGAAACTTGGACTTCATGGAGATGTTCATATTAAAAGTGCTGCAATTCAAATGTATGCTTCTTTTGGGCTTTTAATGGAGGCAAGGCAGTTTCTTGATGATGGTCAAGAGTGTGATGTCATTTGTTGGAATGCTATGATTGATGGTTACTTGAAATGTGAAGAGACTGAAGCTGCTAAAGAGTTGTTTGATTCTATGGTTGATAAAAATATTGGCTCTTATAATGCTATGATAAGTGGTTTAGCTAAGTGTGGAAGGTTTGATAAAGCAAGAAAATTGTTTGATGAGATGAGTGATAAGGATGAAATAACATGGAGTTCAATTATTGATGGTTATATCAAAGGAGGGTATTACAAAGAGGCCTTGGAAGTATTTAATCTAATGCAGAAAGACAAGATTAGGCCAAGGAAATTTGTTCTGTCAAGTGTGCTATGTGCTTGTGCAAATGTTGCTGCACTTGATCAAGGGAGATGGATTCATGCTTATGTGAAAAGAAATTCTATGAATTTGGATGCAGTATTGGGGACTGCATTGATTGATATGTATGCGAAATGCGGGCGTCTTGATATGGCATGGGAGGTTTTTGAGAACATGAAAGTGAAAGAAGTGTTTTCTTGGAATGCCATGATTGGTGGGCTAGCTATGCACGGCCAAGCAGGGGATGCAATTGAATTATTCTTTAAAATGCTAAGGGAAAGGATGAGACCTGATAAAATTACATTTGTTGGTATTTTAAGCGCTTGTGCTCATGCAGGGATGGTTGATAGAGGTCTAGAGGTTTTGAATAATATGAAGACAACATTTGGTATTGAGCCTGAGGTGGAGCATTATGGATGTGTGGTAGACCTGCTAGGAAGGGCAGGGTTTTTAGCTGAGGCTGAGAAACTCATTAGTACAATGCCAATAGAACCCAATGCAGCTGTTTGGGGTGCTCTTTTAGGTGCTTGTAAGAAACATAGAAATATTGAATTGGGTGAAAGGGTGGGGAAGATTTTGGTGGAGATGGAGCCAGAAAATAGTGGTCGATATGCATTGTTGTCGAACATCTATGCGAATGAAGGCAGATGGGATGATGTTGCTAAAGTGAGGAAGTTGATTAAGGAAAGAGGAATAAAGACAAATCCAGGAATTAGCACGATTGATTTGGATGGTATTGTTCATGAATTCAAAATGGGAGATGGATCACACCCACTAGTGAAGGAAATCCATTTGATGCTGGAGAAGATCATTGATAAGCTGAAGATGGAAGGCTATTCACCAAATGCTTCCCAAGTTCTGTTTGATATTGAAGAGGAAGAGAAGGAAACTGCACTTAAGTACCATAGTGAAAAGCTTGCAATTGCTTTTGGATTCATTAACACAAATCCGGGAACAACCATCCGCATTGTAAAGAACTTGAGGGTGTGTGAGGACTGCCATTCTGCCACCAAGCTAATTTCTAAAGTATTCGAAAGGGATATCATTGTAAGGGACCGTGTTCGGTATCATCATTTCAAAAATGGTAAATGTTCCTGCAATGATTTTTGGTAAAGTTCTGGTCAGAATGGATGAAGAGTGAACATGGGGAGTAAACAATAGAAATGCAGTAAAGGCAGTCATAAATTAAAGTATGTAAGGTACTTAAGTATGAGATGGCAATCACAATTCCAGCATTACAGGCTCAGGCTTAACAAAGAATGACAAGTAGCTTCTACAAGATTTTACTTAAAACTTCATTTCCTAGCCTCTTGAGAATGCCTATATGAATGAATATGTATATGCAAATACCCACAACCACAAGTGCACATGTTAATTTGTCAATATTTATGAGCAGTACGTTGTGACAGACCGCAGAGGCTAACTTTCATAGGAGTTCAAATAATCTAAACAGCAGTTAATTTCTAGCAGAAAACAGGCTGAGGAATGTGTCATCTTATTGTTCTTTTAGATTTGGCTAACTGTTAGATGTAACAGAAACATTCTTATAAAGCACAGAAAGGAATGATTATCAGAAATAATTTAAAATACACTTTTTATAGAAAGGATTGCCGAATTTAAATTATTTCTTTATTTGGTATTGGAGAGACAAAAGAAAGAGGGATGACTTCATAATCAATCCTGAGTTTTTGTGCAGATGTCACTTTCAATAAAGAGAAAAGAACTATAATCTAGTTGAGTCTCACTGAGTGCTGGCTGAATGCTTTAGATTTTCATCTCTCACAGCATTTCAAATGTTAACTCATACAAAACCACCTTCTTTATTAGTTAATGCTCATAATATTGGCCCTCAAATAGAATTTTCAAGGAGCCTCAATGCATCAACAAGTCTCACTCCTGATTTATAGGATCATTAGATGAATGAGTTTTGTCATTAAGCTATCGATCTTCTCTCAAATCTTAAGCACACAAAACCTTACTAGTCATGATCCTTTTATTTAGATATAGTGTACAGAACTTTTGTATTTTGGCTCAAGGCCATACAACCATGACAAATTATAGCACACACAACACAGCATATATCATTAATACTATAAATCTACTTAGTTATGTAGAATGCACATCTAAGTAGCAATATCAAGCTTGTAACACAGCACTGCGACACCCTTCAATCACACTATAAATTTATCTACACATTTTTTTTTTCTTCACAACTTGTTAGCAGCTTTTCTTAGGCCCACAATCATTGGTATAAACATGGTGAGAATCGGTAGATGATCCGGAAGGATTCCCATAATTTTTATAACTATGGTTCACCTCATCTGTGCTATCATCAGGTTGCACGTTCGATGAAGTCCGGGTGGTTTTATCATTTTTAGCAGCAACTGATGGCACTGAATCAACTGTGGCACCATTGTTCACCTCCAAAGTAAACCTTCGGGCGTCAGCTTGAAGGTGTAGTGAGACCAATCCAATGACAAATAGAACTACAAGTAGTATCTTCATGATTATAACCTACAGTATTAAAACAATATAAGATTAATGATTGCTTGAGAATCATGATAAAATAATATTACATGAATGCAACTTCAACCCAAATGAACTAGGACATACCTTATCTTCTTTCTGTATAAGCTTTTCTTGATATGGGCTGGTGAACCTTTCTTCCAAAGAAGAGATTATATAGGCTAAATGTATTGCTTAGTGGGAAAGATTTAGTGGAGTAATCACAATTTTTTTGACCTTATTGGAAGGATATTAACAAGTGTGCTTCAAAGTGGCCATTATAGAAGTAATCATGATAAGGGTTAAATATGAAATTTAGCTACAATGGTGTGAGGTTTATATGGTGTTTTTTATGTTCAACAGTTTGATTAGGTTTGCATAATGGGGTTCAACTAGCTAGAAGTGCATGCTACTAATGACATACAGTTACCTTCACTAGAATGGTAATTAGTGGATGACAAGTATAATGTCATTAAAATAATTGATCATCCTTGGATTTCTATGTGTTTTGGCAGATGAGAATGCTATTGATATGGGTAAGGGGTAATCACGAGTACAAAACCTAGGCTATTTGGGGAGTAAACGACTTTTGCCGAACCAAGGTTTGCCTTAACGACACTTTCCCATCCAAAATATTTTAAAATACCATTTTCTCACCCAAAGTTTATATTCCGTTAACACCCAAAATATACTTCACTTTTTCAACTAACGTTCTGCGAGCTACCAGCAAGCAAGGTAAAAGAGGTTTTGTAGAGTGGAGGCTGGTAGTGGTAGACTGAATGATAGTAACCGATTGAATATCCACCTTCGAAATCAGTTGAAAATCAGTTGAGAACAAGAAACTCTAACTTTGCAGTGGTTGGTAACGGTTAGAAATCAGGTTCCAAAGAGAGAGGGGTTTTATAGAGAAGAGATTGGAGTATAAACTTTGGGTGGAAAGTGGTATTTTGAAACTTTTTGGGTGGGAAAGTGTCATTAAGACGAACCTTGGGTGCGAAAAAGTTGCTTACTCGCTATTTGGGCTTTAAAACAGGTCTATATTGACCTGGCAGAGGCTCAACCTATCAAGAAAGTGTGGTCAACAAGTGGATAATGTACAAATTATGCAACACTTCCCAACTCACAATCTAACTGATTAAACCGAACCATTTATCCATCTCTAAAAAGCCACTTACTTTCCCTAGATTCCCTCTTCCAAAACCCAACTGCACATCCATTTCATGAAACAGCAAGGACGTAATTGTCCCAGTATATTTCAAAATATATAATCAGTTTATCAGTTACCAGCTAAACAACCAGGCCTTAACCATGAAACTGCTGTCACCACCGCCTTCTTCTTTGTCTCATCAAACCACACTCTTCTTCTTCTCTTCAAAGGCAAAACTTCTAAACCCCGCTACAGTCTCAAACCATTTTTATCAATGCAGAGTAAAGCGCCAAGTTGGTACCCAAAAAATGGTGGTAAAAGCATGTGCAACAAAGGTAGAGCAGAAAGATGTGAGTGTTTCAGAAAGTGGTTCGAGTGAGTGGGGGAAAGTGTCTGCTGTATTGTTTGATATGGATGGAGTGTTGTGTAACAGTGAGGAGCCTTCAAGAAGGGCTGGTGTGGATGTTTTTGCTGAAATGGGTGTTGAAGTTACAGTGGAGGACTTTGTCCCTTTCATGGGAACTGGTAAGACCTAAAAGTCACTAATTACTTTTGCATTTTAGCAGTCTATTTGATAAAGCGATTCAATGCGTAATCTTTTGTAGTATTTTACTGAATGATGATCAATTTGATTTTGGATAAATTGATTGTTAATTGTTAACTTCAATTGCATGGCTATGATGAGCAATTGAAGAATTGTAATGGGCTGCGTTTAATGGCTTGGAGCTTAGATTAATATAAACATGGTTTTTCTGTTTATGAAACAATGTTATAAGTGAATGAGGAAGCAAAGGTGATGTGGGATTGATATTACTTTCAAAGATACAATTTTTAAATATAAAGAGAACTAGTTATGTTTGAATGTGATGGTTCATTCTATTATTGTATTAAATTGGAGTTTTGATATGTAATTTTAACTTTTAATAATTACATGTCCTATGACAATGTAATAGGCGAGGCAAACTTCTTAGGAGGTGTAGCTTCTGTTAAAGGAGTGAAGGGATTTGATCCTGAGGCGGCCAAAAAATGGTTCTTTGAGATATATCTGGAGAAGGTCATTAATCTAGTATTGAACCACATATTGCAATGAAAAGATGGTTACTAATTACTCACCTCTGATTTCGTTCAATGCTTGCAGTATGCAAAACCGAATTCGGGAATAGGATTTCCAGGAGCCCTTGAACTGATTAATCAGGTATCTAAGCTAATTAATGTCAAATGTCATTATTCTAATTACTTGTTGCTGCAATTAAAGATTTGGCTAATGTAATGCTGCTGTAAAACAGTGCAAAAGCAAAGGCCTAAAAGTTGCTGTTGCATCTAGTGCTGATCGCATCAAGGTTGATGCAAATTTAGCTGCTGCTGGTTTACCAATATCAATGTAAGCTAATCTTGTCATGGGCTCAGTTTCTCAAGTTTATAAAAAAAAAATAAAAAATTAACAAAAAAAAAAAATTTTTAAAAGATTAAAATTAGAAAAAGAAAAAAAAAAAAACCAAATAAAAAAAATAATAAAATAACAAAAAAAAAAATAAAGACATAAAAATAAAAAAAAAAAAAAAAAAAAAGAAAAAAAAAAAAAAAAAAATAAAGCAATATTTGGTTGGTGGGAAAGAGAACCTTCTAGGAATCAGATTAGTGTAGACCTTCAAGTTTAGACTGTATTTTCAACCTGTATGGCCAAGGTTTTATGTTGTTACTTTATTGTTATCCTCTTGTAGTCAGGTTTGATGCTATTGTGTCAGCAGATGCTTTTGAGAATTTGAAGCCTGCTCCTGATATTTTCTTAGCTGCATCAAGGATCTTGAACGTGCCCACTAGTGAGGTATACCACTAGATCCTGCAGTGTTATTTCTTTACTGATATTGCCAGTGCAAGGATTTTCTTCTTAATTTTTTTGGGTTCAACAGCTAAAAATATGAGTACAGCTGCATAGTTTTTTATTTTGCAAAACATTATTTTTGGCAGCATATGTGTTATTATTTTCTGGGATGAAATGTGTTTTTTCTTAGTAAGCGCTGGCAAGTCTGAAAGTGTCATTGCTTGCTAGACTTGCAATATGTAGTCATTTAGCATAACTCTAAGTATATATATATAAGATTTTCATTTCAAAATGTTTCTCAACCACTTTCAGAAATTTTGTCCTGTCAGCTTTATCACAGATTAAATCCATAGAAATTTTGTCCTGTCATGCTGCTTTACTATCCATTTAAAGAAATTTCTCAGATACTCCTAGTGAGTATTCATCAACTGAATTCCCATGTCTTTACCAGATATTCAATGTTTTTGTTTTGGTTTTTGTTTTTTTTTTTTTTTTTTTAATCAGGAGATTTCTTTGTATGGTTTATCATTATGTTGTGTGATCAAGAATGATTTCAAAATAAATGGTTAATTGTTTATTTTTTATGATTTTTTTTTTATATGTATGATTATAATCTTTGCCTACTGTTCCCAGTGCATTGTTATTGAAGATGCACTAGCGGGAGTTCAGGCTGCTAAAGCGGCACAAATGAGGTAAATATTCAAATCCATGCTTTGGTTGGTTTTCTTAAGATAACCATTGTAATTTGTCTTCAAACATTAATTGCTTTCATATATGTCTGAACTTGCTGGATCTTTCCTTCCCTTCATATTATCATGTTCTATTAGTCATCCGACTCTTGCTTTATTAGTTCCAATTTTATGTACCAAATACGAACTAAGATTTTTTTTTTTCCGGGTAAATGGTACTTATTCTCTGCTTCTTGCAGATGTATCGCAGTGAAAACTACATTGCCAGAGGAGATTCTAAAAGATGCTGGTCCATCGCTTATCAGAGATGAGATAGGAAGTGTTTCACTTGATGATATTCTCAGTGGTGGCTCTGATTATAGTATGTAGTCCTGAGAATATGCTCAAACATTTCTTTGTACCAGTGCCATCTATAATGTAAAATGGTGAAGCAACATTGTGCCAATATTTTCAGGACTATGTTTTTAGTAGTTTATATTTTCTTGTAATTGATATCTTTTGTACTGGAAAACATTCTCCTGCACTGCAAAAGTGCAACCTTCTGCTCAGTGCTCCAATTGGCTGAAATTATATTCTGTGCGTATATTTTAAATAAAATGGTTTATCAAGAACTTGCATTTAGAACTTCTGATTGATGATATTCTCTTACCAACTCTTTCAAAGGGGACAGTAATAATGTTTACATTCTGGCGCAGTGAGATCTAATAAGGATGTGTCATTGCAGATAATGAGAGTTTTCCCTCAAAAAATTCATCTGGCATGCCCAAAGAAAGAACAGATAATGGGCCCGTCCAGGTTGTAGGTGCTACCAGTGACAAAAATCTCTCAGCTTGGGGGTAAGACAGGCTCTAGATCTGCGAAGTTCGAGTCAATCTATGTTAAATGTTCACACTATTCATTATTCTGTGTCATTATTAGTTTTGTAGTTTTCTCCTCTTATCCATTTCTTTAGTTTCTCCCAACAACATTCAAATTTTAAGGAGCTTTTGATGCGATGCTCCCTTTTGAATATTGGTTTCCTTTGATACTGTTTTTGTTCTGTTTTCTAGAGAACTATGTTTAGGAATGTTGACTTGCATCATTTAAATTGGTTAGCTAGATACTTTGTATGCATAAAATCCCAATGATGAGCAGTTCAATAGCTGAGCATAAAAATATTTGTTTCCAAGTTTCATTTTCTGACAAACAGATCCTTTTTGAGAAAATATTTCAGCTTGAGGTCGCAGAATTAATTTATGGACAGGTTGCAGGGTTCTCGGCGAGAAGTACTGAGATATGGAAGTTTGGGAGTTGCTATATCTTGTCTCATCTTCACAGTTTCAAACTGGAAGGTATAGCAAACTTGATCATATGAATGTTGGTGTCTCTGTTGGATTTATGTTGGAATATCAGCACTGTTTTCATTGAGTAACTAGAATATTTGAAAACTTCTTTACTTGTCATTTTAGTGAATATAAAACTATTGTGTTTCCATAGGCAATGCAATATTCGTCTCCTAAAGCTATCTGGAATGGGTTATTTGGAGTCAACCGTCCATCGTTTGTCCCAAATGACGGTATTTTCATGTTCCTTATGGTTTTCATTGTAAAGTGTATAAATAGATAATGCAATTTAACATAATATAAGCTGTTAATCTATTTTCTTTGAATCATTGAAGGAGACTCATCACGATCAGCACGAGTCCAGCAATTTGTGAACTATATTTCTGATGTTGAAAACAGGTAAAAAGACTAGTTTTCACCTTATATAATAAGTTATATTAAATTTCTCTTCAATTTGTTAAGCCATTCTGCAAATCAATTTTTTTGCGAGTGCCTTGATGCTTATTTTGTTTAAAATTTTTTTATTTTTATTTTTTGTCGATTTAGGAAAACTACTCCCATTGTACCAGAATTTCCAACGAAACTTGATTGGTTGAATACAGCTCCCCTTCAGTTTCGCAGGGTAAATGATTTAACTTGATTCATAGAATTTCATTAACCTTCCAAAGGAATGTAAATGAGTTTATAGGCTGTCAAACATATTACTTCTTCCTTTTAAATTTAGTTAGAGCCAAAGTGGTTGCATGTTATTCAAACTATGTATCCTAATATGACAATGAGATTTATGTGTTTCTCCTCAAAAAAAGAAAAAAAAGGCAATGATTCTTTTGCATATCTAATTTCAAATACAGAAAATTTGCTTGTTTTTATAGCTTCAGTTCTAAATTACTTCAACTTTTATGCAGGATTTGAAAGGAAAAGTGGTTGTGCTAGATTTTTGGACTTACTGTTGTATAAATTGTATGCATGTGCTGCCAGATTTAGAGTTTCTGGAGAAGAAATACAAAGACAAGCCAGTAAAATTCTCTTCGTTTATTATATCTGAATCTCTCAACTGTTTGAAGTTTCTCTTTTATGGGGTTATGCTTTTGGTGAATTGCTCAGATAGTTTTGTGAATTAACGTTATGTAACATGTTAGAGAGAGAGAGAGAGAGGGGGAAAGAGTGGCAATATAACCATGAAAGATGACATTGCAAGATTGATTGACTTGGGTGGAGGGCAATACGTGGAAAGTTTTCGGCATGAAAAATCATTTATACTATTTTTCTGACTATTTCCTTGCATGGCTATTCATGTTTGGTTTTCCATGTTTTACTAGCAAGTTGAGCTGTATTCATTTTCACACAGCAAACTACTCTGGGCAATGATGTCTTGTTTATTGTCATTTGTGGATATATACTGCTATGGCGTATTAAATTGAGTGTATAATTCTAACAGGAATCTCTATATATAATTCTAAATTTCAAATGTTGCCAACTATAACACAAGTTTAACAAATAACAAAAGCGTATTTAGTTGTATAATAGTGCAATGATCTGAAGCTATCAGCTAGGATAATTGTCTTTGTAATATGAAATATTGCTTAACCTTCCTATCTACTAATGATGGTTATTGGCGAGTTGATTGGCCTAACTATTGAACCTTGTTCTAGTACATGATTGTTTCATATGTGCTTTACGTTTGTACAGTTCACTGTTGTGGGAGTACATTCAGCTAAGTTTGATAATGAGAAAGATTTGGAAGCCATTCGTAATGCAGTGTTACGCTATGGCATAACTCATCCTGTAAGTGTACTGCTTGAAACCTGGTGTGAGCATATTCATGATTGTTCTCTAAGTATTATGGATATCATAGAGCAAAGTTTATTAGTTGCTAATATTATGACTTTGAGTAAAACTAAACCTAACTTTCACTCATTTGACATATAGAGAGCCAAATTCTTTAATTTAGTTTACTTGAAGCTATCACTGGAATCCATATGCCTTTCTGGGTTGCAGACTTGTTTAACATTACACATTCTGTATGATCATCTGCTACTTGACTTGGCTGCGCATGCATGTATATTCCTGCTTCATGTTCCATGCATTTGTTAACACTGATGCATATAAATACGACTAGTTATGTCCTTTGCACCAAGCATACCATTTTGAAGGATTGTTGAGAAATATACTGTAATAATATCTTTTAAGTTGTTTTGTGGTAAAAAATATGTCTTCCACAAAAGATATGATTGTCAAGACTAAGAAAAAATGCGAANGTTGACTGTGTTTATATCTGAGGTTTGTTTTATCTCACCATCAATACTTGTGAAATACTTCTGCTTAAGTTGGTATTTGTTTGTTTTTATAGTTCTTAAGTTGGTATTTATTGTTCTTGTTGTATCATATGTTAATTTTTGACAACCATGGTATTAATGTTATCCATAGGACCATAGCATTTTCTACTTGTATCCTTTGTCTATACCCGTGCCTCATCTTTTGGGTATACTTTTTAGTGGTTTAGGCTTATGATCTTTTAGTCTATCCTGTTAAATATGACTAGCCTTGGGATGGTGTGTTTATTATGCACTGAGCTTACAAGTTCATTTTATACTGCAACTCCTTTTTCTTTCTTTGTGTCTGTTTATTTCAAATTTGATTATTTTTTTTTCATGCATACTGCAGTCTATGTATATTGTGCTAGATGGGAAAAATTCTCATTAATACTGTAATGAGTTTGCTGCTTTGCTGATTGGGAAAGGCATTTTCTGTTGTAGGCCATCCCAAGTCAATCGGCAAGGAGGGCCTTGTTTGAACACTATGTTAAGACACGTGCTGAGGAGGAACATAAGGAAAAACAAGCAGCTCAGAAGGCTGGAATAGAGGGATTCAAGCAGTTACTTGAAGAAGCATTACTTGAAGAAGCATTAGAGGTTTCAGAGGTTATATTGAATTCAAGTGTTTTCTTATTTTGCTAATGTTTACTTTAATAACAATTATTACTAAGTTGTCTAAATATAAGACTGCGGGCCGGAGGTGGTTTATTGAGCATATTTTCATTTTTCAGGATATTGACCACAACACTGATTATCAGACATTCAGAAAGAAATGGGGCAGTGATCCACGGTTTGAGGCGTTAGACCGCAATGATCGAGAACTATTATTGAATGAAAGGTATCATTTAATGAGGAGAATATAGCTTGAGCTCTTTTTCAGCATCACATGTTTCATCCTTGTACAGTAACTCAACATCTATATTTTTGGTGTCTATTTAATTGGTCAGTTTAGCCATGTTTTTCCAACCAATTCAAGTTAATTTTTACTTTGGAATTGATAATCCATGTTTTCATTCATCCTTGGAAGAAAATGTGAACTTAGCATTTTAGCATACTACATATTCTACTTGAACCTGTTTTCACGAACAGAAACACATTAGATTTGGGGAACTATAAGAGAATTGTTTTTTTGGTCATTTCTATGCGAATGGGAACTTAAATTTCTAGTGTGGAACATACCAAACTGACTGACAACTAACCCAAGAAACTAAAACAAAGGCAAAAACAAACAAAAATTTCTTATAATTCACACATTTAACATATTGAAAAAAGGGGACTTCCCTTACCCCCCACCTGTTTGCATTGTCCCCATGGTACAAATGTAAACAAAAGGATAAAGAGAAAATGAAAAGAAAATTTACCCCCTTTTCAAAAGCCAAGTGCGAATACCCGGGTGTCCTGGGTTCGACCCCGGCAACGTAACACTTGTCCTTTCAGTTTCGAATATTGAAGACGATCTGTTAGCATGGCGACTAGCAACTCAACATCACACTGACAGACTCGTGGCGACGCTTTCTCGGCCACCCGAGTAGAAGCCAAGGAGCAAACCGAGATGGATATCCTTGAGCCGAGGTATCTGGTAGGAATCAGTCCAGCAGGGCAAAGGTCGATCCCATGGGATTATGAGGACGTTGCCAATGATGTCGAGCCTTTGACAATTGTTAGACCCGAAAGAGGCTCGTCTTCTACATTAATGGGAGGAGTTCGCTCGAATTGATAGGAGTACGGGCTAGCCGGTAGACTTTGCGTTGCTGGAGGGTACGTGCCACGGAATCCACCTAATGGCTGGGTCGCGATTTCTAAGACACTCCTCAAATGTGGAGTGTCAATTCCACCACATTCTTTTATCCACGAAGGTTAGATCGGTTTGGAATTGTGCCCCTCCAATTGAACGCGAACTCTTACTTGTACATGATAGAAAGTACATTGTCTTTCGGAAGGGCGGCTTGGGTGAGCTCTCTGCAGAGGAGCTCATCAATATGTACTGCTGAAGAAGGGCCAAAGAGGAACTTACTACCTCTCTAAGGCTAAACGGTCCGACCTCAACAGGCTAGTCAGAGTCCCAAACAAGATTGGCAGTTGGGATTCCAATTACTTCTTCTGTCCTGATGAGGATGACGGGTTCTTTCAAGGATTGCCGGGTTTTGTTCTTTTATGAATGATTGTCTGCTACTGTGTTATTATTCTTTTTCGATGCAACTTCAAATGTAGCTTGTGAGAAATGCTAGTTTCATTAACTAATTGTTAACATGCCAATGAAATATTAAGGAAATGCTTAAGGAAAGAGGAGTGGCACATTCTCAAAATGGGATAAGGAACTGCCAAAGATAGTATTTGATCCCCATTTTAAGGTTGCCGAGTCTAAAGATTTTGAATATTTGTTTGAGAATTGGAGGCCTTCTTACCACAGGGTGATCTGACACCTTAGTAGATATCTAGTCCACTTCTACTTCTCTCTTTTGATTAATGTAATTTTTGTTTTAAATCAAAAAAGTAATATGCATCTTTGGTTAGTAGCTTTGGATGAGTATTAAGAATTTGCCTATAAATTTTTGTCTTCCTTTAAGAGGCAATCCTAGAATTTCTGAGTTTTAGGTTCTATAGTGGATGTAGGGCTGTATACGAGCCGAGGCGAGCCGGACACCTCGGTGTTCAAGCTCGGCTCGTGACAAATGTACGGAGCTCGAACTGAGCTCTAAAACCCTGGCTCGAGCTCGAATCATTTACGAGTCGAGTCGAGCTCAATACTTCTTTCTCTTCCTGAACGGATTACATTCTGACTTTTTGCTCTACCTTTTATATTCAAAATCAAATCCCTTGTGCCTGTGCCATCAAAATATAATAAGTAGTCACATTCACTCACCAGTCACCAACTAAGTTAGAAAATAATAATAAAAGACAAGTACCGTGATTACAACAACATGTAAACTTGAGTTATTAAGGATTCATATATGGAAACCCAGAAATCATAGTAATAGCATCCTATATGAAATAAATCAAATCAAAGCAAAGCAAAGCATGGATGCTGCAAATAAAAAGGTAAGATATTCATCATATAAAGGCATAATTAGCTAGCGTTAGTGGTTATTACTGGGTTGTTTCTAAAGGGAAAGAGAAATAAAGGAGAAGAAGAAGGAAAGAGAAAAGAAAGGAGAAGGAGAAGTGCGATTGTTGGAAGAAAATATGTTAAGAGTTTTGGAATTGAAACAATTTATATATAAATGTAATTACATGGACCCCTTTTATACTTGAAAAACTTGACACTCATACTTAAAAAAACTTGCATCTATACCCTTTCGAGCCCATGGAGGCTCGCGAGCCTATCGAGCCGAGCACGGGTGGCTCAGGCTCGGCTCGAAAGGGCACTTGAGCCTTAGCTTGAGCTTTTGTCGAGCTAAGCCAGGCTATTCGCAAACAGTTCAACTTGGCTACACCCTAGTGGATAGAGTTGAGAAAAGATTGCATGTTCAAATAAAGCGTTTCCTATAGGAGAAGGCCCCTTTGTGTAATTGGGGTTATCTAGCCTTCCATTATGTAACTTTTTCTTCTAGGTCTTAAGAAGATGGTTAGAAGGCTAAGAAGAGAATGTGAGGTTGGGGTCACCTTCTTACCATGGGGATTAGTTTGTGTAATTGGTCTTATCTAGCCTGCCAATATAAGGAAGAAAAGAAGGATCATTCAGTTTGTCAAGAAATAGTGTTTAGCCTGGGGATTATGGTGGTCCCGGGTTGGTAATGTTGAAAACTAGGTAAATAGCCATAGAGATTTTGATTGGAACAATTGTCTTTAAGTTTGAGATATTGGGTGGGATGTTAAGGTGGATATTAGAAGTTTGAGAAGCAATCCTTTGAAGTTTATTGTGCGAGGAAATCAAGACTGTTGCTAACACATGTTGATTGGTGAGTCCACTGGTTTGTCTGGTGGCATATATTTGATTGAAACACAAGGTCCAGGTGTAGCACTGATCATTTTATAAAAAGATAAAAGAAAGGCTTTTGACTGGTTGGGGTTTATCAATTGGTTGGAACTTCAATTTTCGTTTGGGTGATTGTGAGTATTGTGTTGCCTAGTTGAGGGATTTGTTCATTGGGGAGGAAAGGAGTTGGAGGTCTTGTGTAATTTAGTGCTGAAAATCTTTAATTATTCGGTGGAGGAATACAAAATTCAATGTGCTAGGGAGGAAGATGTGAAGTTTTTTCCTTTTTCTATTTATTTTTTTTGAGAAGAAACTAGGACATAGAGAGTGACAAAAGCTTAAGATATTCCTTTTTTTTGTTTTGGAATTATATTTGGTTTGGGCTTTCTTTTGTGATTGGAATAGTTCGCTTTATTTTTATATTTTTTTACATAGTTCCAGCTTACCTTTTTGTTAATACACATATATATATTATATATATATATATATATATTTATATATTATATATATATATATATATTATATATTAAACATGTGGCTTTAGGTATTACTTAATGAACAGACCGCTTTAGGGAAACTTAACCCTGAAAAAGAATTCGAAACCCAACTTATTGTTTGGTTTAGTTCTTCAGTTTTAATGTTATGCACAAACCTACCTGGTTGTTGATTTGTTTGGTCAATGTAAGTTGCTCTTGGTTTGGTTGTTCATGTTAGGATCCCACATTGAGGGGAAAAGGGTGGGCATGTGGGTTATAAAGGGTTTGGGCGCCTTTCCTTGGCAAGCTGGTTTTCCAAGAAGAGTTCTACCCAAATTATGAAAGACCTATGATCCAACCCAATTATGAGTTATTGGAGTGGGGGTTCCTAGTAATTGGTATCAAAGCATGATCTACGCCCACATGGATGTCGCTAGTGGCAGGTGACCTTGTGCTAGGGCTGCTATCCTGAGAAAGGGCATGGAGGCTTGAGGGAAAGGGGATCTGCGTAGTCACCACGGGGTAAAGAAACCAATGTGGACGTCGGTGCGGAAGCGGGTGGATATTAGGATTCGACGTTGGAAGGGAAAGGGTGTGCATGTGGGTTTAAAGGGTTTGGGTACCCTCCTTTGACAAGCCGGTTTTCCAAGGAGAGTGCTAACCAGCCCATGAAGACCCATGACCAGTCAATTGTTGAGTTATTGGAGTGGGTTCCTATCATTCATGCTTTAATTTACCGTGATAAGTTTGGCTTATTATGCTAATGTAAGTTGCTCAATTGTGATGGGTGACGCTTCTGTCGCCGCAGCGAAACTGTCCAACAGCTTCCCCGTGGGCTTGAACACCTCTTCGTCGCGGCGAAGATACTTCTTCGCCCCAGCGAAGCCTGGAACACTAAACTTCTTCTATTTTTAACAAATTTCAAGGCAAGTATTAAACATACCACTCAATTAAAGGCCAACCAAACAATAATACTAATAAACCGACTCAAATAAGAGCAAAAGAAGAAACATTAGCTACGTACCTCAAGTAGGGCGTTACAGTTAATGGCCATGGATCTGACCTGAAATGGGTCTAGCCGGAAATGACTAAATCTAGCTGGTCATGCGCCGTCGTGGCTGGGGTGGTGGCCAGCGGTCATAAGTGGCTTAGGGTGGGTGCCAGGCAGGGGTGATTTTGTTAGAAATTAAACTTTTATGTGGCTGGGGTGTTTTAGCAAAATCTCAAAGATAGGGGGTTAAAAGAAATGATTTAAAAAATAAAAATATTATTATATTAATATTGAAAAAGGAGGGTAATTTAGTAATCTACATAACATACCCACAAATTTATTCCTCCCAACCAAACATATCAATATAACATACCCATCAATTTATTCCAGCCTAACCAAACACATTCTCCTAAATATTCCCAGTAATTTTCAAGGTAATCTATCTTTCCACTAATATAAGATTCCCAATAATGCAACATTCTCTGAACCAATCACACCATTTGCGTAATGCTAATCCACGTTTACATACACAAACTCAAAGTTCTCATATGCAAATTAGGCAAATATTTGATTCATATTCTTCGACAAAAGATTCTTGAACCATTTGTTCCCAATCATCACAAATTTCGTCGTCAACATCATTTTTCATCCGAATATCATTTTTTTTTAATCATTTACAATTTGAAAACACACAAAACATACTCATGATCCCATAAAACATATTTATGAAAATTTCATAATCACACCAATTAAACCTAATTTTCCACAAATAATACCCGATAAACTATTACATATAAGTGTATTTTCATGCACTTATCACAACCCCCAACCAGCTTCTTGCTAGTCTCTAGCAAGCTAAGTGATCAAAAGATGTCTTTTAGCTTAAAAATCAAAATAAAAATAAATTCTACACCTAAGCTAACCTAAATCACATCTGTAGATTGTCATAGTTGCATTTAACATATGCAACAAACCTTTAAACCCTTAGGCGACCCTAGTTGGACAAGTTATAGTCTCGTGAGGGTTCCAGAGATGACACCCACAAACATCCATGCTAAGCCTCACCTAGACCCTAAAATAAAAACGAACAAAAACAGTAATTCTTGGATCAATTCATATATTTGTCTCAATAATTGCACACACACACATAACAAATAGAATAATTAAAAATCAACCAAGCCCAAAAATTACTCAAACATCAATTCCAATGTCGTTATCGACTCTCAAATATTCATCAAACCACAAACCATTAATCTAGAAACCCGAAAGATTTTATTCACAATATTCATAGACAAAGAATTGATATCTAGAATTTGGAGCACGTCATGTGTATAAGTAATAGAATCAAACTACATAAGCTCACTTTTCAAACCGCACTACAATAATGTAAAATTGTCAAACTACCTCAAACAAATAGGTCTTTATAAAGGTTGTAACATTAGATTAAGGTATGGGGTTATGAAAGAATGGAAGGGATTTAAACAAAAACAAAAAATAAGAGGCTTATTCTCATGCAATTTAAACACAACCCTTTAAGCACTAACATAACTTCCTTTGCCCCCAACTTTCCCAAAACTTTATTGAGCTTTTCTTCGCACGATAATAAAAACTTCACCTGCATGTTTTCACCCTTCATCAATGTCACTATACCCTTTTCTTCTTTTTCTTTCTTTTGTGTTTTTTTTTTTCTTTTTTTTTTAAACACTTTTCTAACCCACACTTGTTCATAAAAAACACTCAATAACTCCCAACCAATTTATTTGATCACATACGGGTTGTGGTGATAATCTTCGAATTTCCACCCTCTCTTTCCTAAGTGCTCTCACTAAAGCTTGTGTTGAAATTAAGTCCTCTTAAAAATAAAAGTGTAGGATTACGTTTTTTGGGCTTATAAGATAGGTAGGTTATAGTAGGATTTTTGAAAGAATATGAAGGCTAAAAAGGCGTTTAAAATTGGCTCAAATGGATAACTAGTGATAATAAAATAAAGGGTAGGCTTAAAAGGCTCAAATGGTCCAAAAATAGCCTAAAACATTTCTTAAGTAATCTGAATTCTAGGATTTTGCCTTGAGTAGCCATTAAGTGAGTTTTAGAGTTTGTTGAGATCGCAACAATATCTATGAAAAATTCACGCATAAAACTTTTCTAAGCATTTAAACTGATCAATAATCATACCACACACCAAGAGAGTCTCAAAATATACATAATTAACATTTAAAATTATCCTTAATCTGAAGCAAAATTTAATGTATTTTAAAAGTGACATGTTATCACAATTATAGTCCTATCATTGACTGACAACTAACCCAAGAAACTAAAACAAAGGCAAAAACAAACAAAAATTTCTTATTAATTCACACATTTAACATATTGAAAAAAGGGGACTTCCCTTACCCCCAACCTAGCATTTGCATTGTCCCCATGGTACAAATGTAAACAAAAGGATAAAGAGAAAATGAAAAGAAAATTTACCCCCTTTTCAAAAGCCAAGTGCGAATACACGGGTGTCCTGGGTTCGATCCCCGGCAACGTAACACTTGTCCTTTCATGTTTCGAATATTGAAGACGATCTGTTAGCATGGCGACTAGCAACCTCAACATCAACACTGACAGACTCGCTGGCGACGCTTTCTCGGCCACCCGAGTAGAAGCCAAGGAGCAAACCGAGATGGATATCCTTGCAGCCGAGGTATCTGGTAGGAATCAGTCCAGCAGGGCAAAGGTCGATCCCATGGGATCTACTGAGGACGTTGCCAATGATGTCGAGCCTTTGACAATTGTTAGACCCGAAAGAGGCTCGTCTTCTACATTACCTGAGGAGGAGTTCGCTCGAATTAGATAGGAGTACGGGCTAGCCGGTAGACTTTGCGTTGCTGGAGGGTACGTGCCACGGAATCCACCTAATGGCTGGGTCGCGATTTCTAAGACACTCCTCAAATGTGGAGTGTCAATTCCACCACATTCTTTTATCCACGAAGTGTTAGATCGGTTTGGAATTGTGCCCCTCCAATTGACAGCGAACTCTTACTTGTACATGATAGAAATGTACATTGTCTTTCGGAAGGGCGGCTTGGGTGAGCTCTCTGCAGAGGAGCTCATCAATATGTACTGCCTGAAGAAGGGCCAAAGAGGAACTTACTACCTCTCTAAGGCTAAACGGTCCGACCTCAACAGGCTAGTCAGAGTCCCAAACAAGATTGGCAGTTGGGATTCCAATTACTTCTTCTGTCCTGATGAGGATGACGATGGTTCTTTCAAGGATTGCCGTAGGTTTTTGTTCTTTTATGAATGATATTGTCTGCTACTGCTGTTATTATTCTTTTTCGATGCAACTTCAAATGTAGCTTGTGAGAAATGCTAGTTTCATTAACTAATTGTTTAACATGCCAATGAAATATTACAGGAAATGCTTAAGGAAAGAGGAGTGGCACCATTCTCAAAATGGGATAAGGAACTGCCAAAGATAGTATTTGATCCCCATTTTAAGGTTTGCCGAGTCTAAAGATTTTGAATATTTTGTTTGAGAATTGGAGGCCTTCTTACCACAGGGTGATCTGACACCTTAGTAGATATCTAGTCCACTTCTACTTCTCTCTTTTGATTAATGTAATTTTTTGTTTTAAATCAAAAAAGTAATATTGCATCTTTGGTTAGTAGCTTTGGATGAGATATTAAGAATTTGCCTATAAAATATTTTTGTCTTCCTTTAAGAGGCAATCCTAGAATTTCTGAGTTTTAGGTTCTATAGTGGATAGTAGGGCTGTATACGAGCCGAGGCGAGCCGGACACCTCGGTGTTCAAGCTCGGCTCGTGACAAATGTACGGAGCTCGAACTCGAGCTCTAAAACCCTGGCTCGAGCTCGAATCATTTACGAGTCGAGGTCGAGCTCAATACTTCTTTCTCTTCCTGAACAAATTACAGTTCTGACTTTTTGCTCTACCCTTTCTATATTCAAAATCAAAATCCCTTGTGCCTGTGCCATCAAAATATAATAAGTAGTCACTATTCACTCACCAGTCACCAACTAAGTTAGAAATATAATAACTAAAGACAAGTACCCGTGATCTACACAACATGTAAACTTGAGTTATTAAGGATTCATATATGGAAACCCAGAAATCATAGTAATAGCATCCTATATGAAATCAAATCAAATCAAAGCAAAGCAAAGCATGGATGCTGCAAATAAATAAGGTAAGATATTCATTCATATAAAGGCATAATTAGCTAGCGTTAGTGGTTATTACTGGAGTTGTTTCTAAAGGGAAAGAGAAATAAAGGAGAAGAAGAAGGAAAGAGAAAAGAAAGGAGAAGGAGAAGTGCGATTGTTGGAAGAAAAATAAGTTAAGAGTTTTTGGAATTGAAACAATTTATATATAAAATGATAATTACATGGACCCCTTTTATACTTGAAAAACTTGCACCTCATACTTAAAAAACTCGCATCTATACCCTTTCGAGCCCATGGAGGCTTGCAAGCCTATCAAGCCGAGCACTGGGTGGCTCAGGCTCAGCTCGAAAGGGCACTTGAGCCGCTCTAGCTCGAGCTTTTGTTGAGCTAAGCCCAAGCTATTCGCAAAAAGTTCAACTCAGCTACACCCCTAGTGGATAGAGTTGAGAAAAGATTGCATGTTCAAATAAAGCTTGTCTTCCTATAGGAGAAGCGCCCACTTTTGTGTAATTGGGGTTATCTAGCCTTCCATTATGTAACTTTTTCTTCTTAGAGTCCTTAAGAAGATGGTTAGAAGGCTAAGAAGAGAATGTGAGGTCTGGGGTCACCTTCTTACCATGGGGATTAGTTTGTGTAATTGGTCTTATCTAGCCTGCCAATATAAGGAAGAAAAGAAGGATCATTCAGTTTGTCAAGAAATAGGTGTCTAGCCTGGGGATTATGGTGGTCCCGGGCTTGGTAATGTTGAAAACTAGGTAAATAGCCATAGAGATTTTGATTGGAACAATTGTCTTTAAGTTTGAGATATTGGGTGGGATGTTAAGGTGGATATTAGAAGTTTGAGAAGCAATCCTTTGAAGTTTATTGTGCGAGGAAATCAAGACTTTGTTTCTAACACATGTTGATTGGTGAGTCCACTGGTTTGTCTGGTGGCAATAATATTTGATTAGAATACACAAGGTCCAGGGTGCTAGCACTGATCATTTTATAAAAAAGATAAAAGAAAGGCATTTTGACTGGTTGGGGTTTATCAATTGGTTGGAACTTCAATTTTCTGTTTGGGTGATTTTGAAGTATTGTGTTGCCTTAGTTGAGGGATTTTGTTCATTTGGGGAGGAAAGGAGTTGGAGGTCTTGTGTAATTTAGGTGCTGAAAATCTTTAATTATTCGGTGGAAAGGAATACAAAATTTTCTAATGATGCTAGGGAGGAAGATGTGAAGTTTTTTCCTTTTTCTATTTTATTTTTTTTGAGAAGAAACTAGGACATAGAGAGTGACAAAAGCTTAAGATATTCCTTTCTTTTTGTTTTTGGAATATTATATTTGGTTTGGGCTTTCTTTTGTGATTGGAATAGTTCGCTTTATTTTTATATTTTTTTCACTAGTTTCCAGCTTACCTTTTTGTTTAATACATACATATAATATAATATATATATATATATATATATATATAATATATAATATATATATATATATCTATATAACATGTTGCTTTAGGTATTACTTAACGAACAGACTGCTTTAGGGAAACTTAACCCTGAAAGAGAATTCGAAACCCAACTTATTGTTTGGTTTAGTTCTTCATGTTTTAATGTTATGCAACCCGACCTAAATGGCTGTTGATTTGTTTGGTCAATGTAAGTTGCTCTTGGTTTGGTTGTTCATTGTTAGGATCCCACATTGGAAGGGAAAAGGGTGGGCATGTGGGTTATAAAGGGTTTGGGCACCCTTTCTTGGTAAGCCGGTTTTCCAAGAAGAGTTCTACCCAAACCCATGAAAGACTTATGACCCAACCCAATTATTGAGTTATTGGAATGGGTTCCTAGCAATTGGTATCAAAGCATGATCCTACGTCCACGTGAATGTCGCTTATGTGGCAGGCTGACCTTGTGCTCGGGCTGCTACCTTGAGAAAGGGCATGGAGGCTCAAGGGAAAGGGGATCCGCGTAGTCACCCAAGGGGTAAAGAGGTCAACGTGGACGTTGGTTGCGAAAGCATGGTGGAATATTTGGATCCGACATTGGAAGGGAAAAGGGTGTGCATGTGGGTTATAGAGGGTTTGGGTACCCTCTTTTGGCAAGCCGGTTTTCCAAGGAGAGTGCTACCCAAGCCTATGAAAGACCCATGGCTCAGTCCAATTGTTGAGTTATTGGAGTGAGTTCCTATCATTCATGCTTTAATATTACCGTGATAAGTTTGGCTTATTATGCTAATGTAAGTTATTCACTTGTGATGAGTTGACTGTGTTTATATCTGAGGTTTGTTTTATCTCACCATCAATACTTGTGAAATACTTCTGCTTAAGTTGGTATTTGTTTGTTTTTATAGTTCTTAAGTTGGTATTTATTGTTCTTGTTGTATCATATGTTAATTTTTGACAACCATGGTATTAATGTTATCCATAGGACCATCTTTTGGGTATACTTTTTAGTGGTTTAGGCTTATGATCTTTTAGTCTATCCTGTTAAATATGACTAGCCTCGGGATGGTGTGTTTATTATGCACTGAGCTTACAAGTTCATTTTATACTGCAACTCCTTTTTTTCTTTCTTTGTGTCTGTTTATTTCAATTTTGATTATCTTTTTTTAATGCATACTGCAGTCTATGTATATTGTGCTAGATGGGAATATTTCTCATTCATACTGTAATGAGTTTGCTGCTTTGCTGATTGGGAAAGGCATTTTCTGTTGTAGGCCATCCCAAGTCAATCGGCAAGAAGGGCCTTGTTTGAACACTATGTTAAGGCATGTGCTGAGGAGGAACGTAAGGAAAAACAAGCAGCTCAGAAGGCTGTAATAGAGGGATTCAAGCAGTTACTTGAAGAAGCATTAGAGGTTTCAGAGCTTATATTGAATTCCAGTGTTTTCTTATTTTGCTAATGTTTACTTTAATAACAATTATTACTAAGTTGTATAAATATAAGACTGCAGGCCGGAGGTGGTTTATTGAGCATATTTTCATTTTCAGGATATTGACCACAACACTGATTATCAGACATTCAGAAAGAAATGGGGCAGTGATCCACGGTTTGAGGCGTTAGACCGCAAGGATCGAGAGCTGTTATTGAATGAAAGGTATCATTTAATGAGGAGAATATAGCTTGAGCTCTTTTTCAGCATCACATCTTTCATCCTTGTGCAGTAACTCAACATCTATATTTTTGGCGTCTATTTAATTGGTTAGTTTAGCCATGTTTTTCCAACCAATTCAAGTTAATTTTTACTTTGGAATTGATAATCCATGCTTTCCTTCATCCTTGGAAGAAAATGTGAACTTAGCATTTTAGCATAATACATATTCTACTTGAACCTGTTTTCACGAACAGAAACACATTAGATTTGGGGAACTATAAGAGAATTGTTTCTTTGGTCATTTCTATGCGAATAGGAACTTAAATTTCTAGTGTGGAACATACCAAAAGCTACCCGCTTAAATTTATTAATCAAATATGCTTGCTTAGACGGACCTATTGAGTATTTTGTAACTTTCGTGGAGTCTTTTTGTCTCTTTTATGTTTCTGTCCTATGGAATGAAAAAAAAAAAAAAATAACGGGGAAGTCTAATTGTTTCAGTAGGATGCTTCACTTTTAGTATGGCTTAGCTCATGTCTGTTTTAGCTTGGGAAGATCGCTAGTTAATGCCATGCAGAACCCTCGTAGAGTTTTGGTCAGGTTACATGTATGAGGTTAAATTTCAGCTCTTTCTTTGAACTGTTCATTGCAAAGTTGTCTTGTCACATAACTAATGTAAAAATGATATTTATTCTTTATCTTTCTCATCCTTTTTCCTTAAGTATTGTTTAGTAACTTGAGTTAAATATCTGGTTTGTGATGCCATCATTAATGAGGTGAGCCCATTATTAAACTGGACTAAGGCTAGCTGATTATTAATTTGGACCAAAGGCTGCATGTCTGATATTTTCTTTTTGGCCTTTAAATGGCTTCCAGTTCTTATCTCATCTTTGCTGACCAGTATTAAGACCTGTATGAGTGATAAGTATTCAAAGGTTGACTTGTTGACTGCAGTGTACATACTAGAAGACTGCTATACTGTTGTGGAGGAGTTTAGTTCATCTCAGACTAATATTGTGCACAACTACATCTCATGCACACTGATGAGCAACTAAAAGGGCTGGCGTACCGTAGGAAGGGTAGTGGTAAGAAGTAGAGGAATATTGCTGAATATTTGTTATGTAGGAAGTTGGGATTTGCTAGGGAGGACAGATGGCATGATAGGATAGGATGTAGGTGGAATTCGGTTAGAGCAAAAAGGTGACAGGAGAGAATAAAAAGAGGAGGAGAGAAAAAGGATGACTCATTCAGAATTAAAAGAGTGAATTGGAAGGGAGGCAGCTGACCCTCGAAGTCAGTATTTGGGAGGTGGCTGACCCTCGAAGTCAGTCTTTCGTTTATCGTTTTCTTGATGTACTTTGCATTACTTTCTCAATGTTTTTTGCTTACTGAGTACTGACAGGATATGACTACTGGATATATCTTTTATGGATGTATTGTTCTGTTGGGATTAATATAACAGGATCTTCTTTACTAAATTGTAATTGTTGATTGTGAGTTGTGGACAGATTGTTGGTAGTATTGGTTGATTTGCAGGTCAGGTCCTATCAAGTGGTATCAGAGCATTGTGGTCTGGGTAATGGTCTTGACGAGGATGGATTCTAGACTGGATAATGTAGAGAGAGAGGTTACAAAACTGGGAGTAGAAATGGGTACCATCCGGGAGTGTTTGGTGGAGTTACAATCATGGGTACAACGAAAGAATAAGGAAGAGGCTGGTAGAGCAGAAAATGTTCAGTCTTAGCAAGAAGAAAATGCAAATGGAACTAGTGGATCTGGGAATAGAAATCAAAACCGCAATGAAATAGGGGGATGAAAATTGGAGATGCCAATCTTTTCCGGTGAAGATCCTTACGGATGGATCTTTAGAGTAGAGCGGTACTTCAGTCTCAATGGAATATTGGAGGAAGGAAAGTTGACAGCGGCAGCTGTCTGCATGGAAGGAGAAGCTATAAATTGGTTCCAGTGGACGGAATCCAGAACGCCGGCAAGCTCGTGGGCTATGTTTAAGTTGACACTACTTCAGAGATTTAGTGGATCACAAGAGCTCAACCCATATGAATCCTTAATGGCAATGAAAAAAACTGGTTCAGTGGTGGAGTTCCGTCGTCAGTTTGAAGCAATAGCAGCACTTTTGGTAAGGGAGAAAGAAGAAATTCTGCAAGCTGCCTTTGTGAATGGACTAAAGATAGAAATTAGGGCTGAGGTTCGTTTGGCCCAACCAAATTCATTAACCCAAATAATTGAGCTAGCCCAGAGAATAGAAGAAAGGAATCAAGCTTTAGAAGAAGCCCAAGTGGGAGCAAACAGGGCCTCACGCACAGCTGGGCCTGGGTTTTCATATGGGTCCAACAACCATGGATCCAGCAGTGCAACCCGATTCGACATCCACAACCCAACCCAATTTGAACTTAATCCCAAATTTCCCAACTCAATCGAATCCCTAAAATCTAACTCCCAACTCCTTTTCCCATTTCAGTCGACGAACACCGGAATCTTCCATGCAGGGCTTGTCGACGAATTCCTCCACTCGTGAACCATTGACGACGACTTTTCGACCATTCGAACGACAACAGTTTCAACGACAAGAGTTTCCCTTTCGTCGAATGACAGATGTCGAGATCCAAAGGAAAACAGAGAAGGGAATCTGTTTTAGGTGCGACGGAAAGTACTCGATTCGGCATAAATGTGGTGAGAAACAATTTCAAATCATCCTGATTGATGAAGAAGAAGATGACCCAGATCCGATTGGGGGTGGAGAAACTGTCGAAACTGAAACAGAGCAACAGTAGGAAAATGTTGAGCTTTCTCTTAGTTCAGTGGTGGGGATTCAGGGTCCGAAGACAATGAAACTCAAAGGAAGAATCCAAGGTAAAGAATTGATTGTGTTGATTGATAGTGGGGCTTCCCACAATTTTATTAGCTCAAAGGTGGTTGAACGATGGGGAATACCAGTGGTAGGGACTCAGTCCTTCGGGTTCCGAGTAGGTGATTGGTATAGTGTGAGGTGTGAAGGAGAATGTAGAGACGTGTGCATGGAGTTACAAGGGGTGTCGATTGTTCAAAATTTTTTCCCATTTGATATAAGCAGTGCTGACGTAGTTCTAGGTATTGCATGGCTTGAGACTTTGGGTGAGACCATTATGGATTGGAGAAAACAAACTATGAGCACTGGAAAACCAGATTGTTTGTTTGTATGGGGATCCATCTCTTAGCAAAACCATGGTATCCCTCAAGGCCATGATTAAGGCGTTACAGAGTGAAGGGCAGGGCTGTTTGATCGAATTTGGGCAGATACAGACTCAGTGTGAACAAATTGGGAGTATCGATGACAAACTACTGGAGGTCTTGGGAAAGTTTAGCCAAGTCTTCGAGCCACTCCTCGGGTTACCACTTGCTAGGTCAAAAGACCATGCTATTCAGTTAGTTCCTGGCACACAGCCACCAAACCTCAGACTATACCGATACCCTTACTATCAGAAAAATGAGATAAAGCGTATTGTCAAGGAAATGTTGCCTTCGGGAATTATTAAACCAAGCATCAGCTCGTTCTCCAGCCTTGTTTTATTGGTGAAAAAGAAGGATGGAGGGTGGCGATTCTGTGTAGATTATCAGCCAGTTAACAAGGTGACAATTCCGGATAAATTACTGATTCCTGCTATCGACGAATTGTTTGATGAGTTAGAAAGGGCAACAGTATTTTCGAAACTCAATTTGAAATCCGGATATCATCAAATTAGAGTGAAACCAGAAGACACACACGACTGCTCTTTGGACACACGAAGGGCATTATGAATTTCTTGTAATGCCTTTCGGCCTTACCAACGCACCGGCAACTTTCCGAGCAGTCATGAATGATGTATTCAGGCCATATTTGAGAAAATTTTTGTTGGTGTTCTTCGACGATATACTGATTTATAGTAGGGAGATGGACGAACATGCGAAGCATTTAAGCATTAATTTGCAGGTATTATTGGAGAATCAGTTGGTGGTAAATCAGAAGAAGTGTCAATTCGGGCAACTCCAGTTAGAATATCTAGGACATATAGTGTCAGCTAAGGGTGTGGCAGTTGATCCCTCCAAAGTAGACAGCATCACTAAATGGCCAGAACCAAGGAACATCAGAGCACTTAGAGGATTTCTTGGGCTGACAGGCTACTACCGTCGTTTTGTTCGCGATTATGGTAAGATAGCTCTTTCACTCACTGCCCTATTAAAGGACTCTTTTGTATGGAATACAACAGCTCAACGGGCCTTCGAAGAGTTAAAAAGAATCATGACCAGTGTCCCTATCCTACGGATGCCAAATTTCACTCAAGAATTTATTATAGAGATCGATGGGGCTGTGTTGATGCAAGGGGGGTGGCCTATTGCATTTCTCAGCAAAGGTTTGTCTATCAATTCCAAATTGAAATCAATCTATGAGCGGGAATTAGTGCCTATAGTTTTGGCTGTGCAAAAATGGCGACATTACCTCTTGGGAAGACGTTTTGTTATCCGGACAGATCAGCAGATCCTCCATTTCTTAACTGACTAGAAATTATTAAGTGAAAGTTAGCAAAAGTGGGTTATCAAAATGCTGGGACTGGATTTCATCATTCAATACAAACCGGGACCACAAAATAAAGTAGCAGATGCTCTTTCCAGGATGCCGGATGCAGTCGAGCATCATGCTATTTATATGGGTTGTTTTTCTGGACTAGATAGTTTAGAGGATGCAATCCAGCAAGATGCCAAGTTATGTAGGATTATACAATAGCTTCTGATTGACCCGAATAGCCACTCTCATTTCAGATTGGTGGGACGCCATCTACTGTACCATAACAGGTTAGTGTTACCTAAATCGGGGCCTCACATCCACAAGATATTACAGGAATTTCATACTTCACCAATTGGGGGCTATTCTGGATTTTTTCGGACATACAAGCGAATCTCGAATGTGGTGTTTTGGGAGGGAATGAAGAACAATATCAAAGCATTTGTAGCTGCTTGCCGCATCTGTCAACAAAATAAATACGACGCATTAAGTCCAACAGGTTTGTTGCAACCATTACCTATTCCTAACCAAG